ATAAATTCTCTAATCGGATATGAAAATAAGAATTCCAGTTTCAGAAAAAGTGATGTTTCTCAATATTGAAATACAAATTACGAGCAGATCATACCTCGTAATTTAGAACCAAAACCTTCTAACAAAACTAGAATCCGTGATCTTTCTAATGATGCCATATCAACATCTAGTTCTTCCAGACTTGGCCGAAAAACGTATGCGAAATCGGCTGGTCGCATACTCACTCTGTACAGATCAGCCAAGTAAAACATCCATAACATTCATTCCATAACACCAAATGACAAACTTCTTTCAAATATTACTAGATCAGAGAGTTAAGAATCTTCTTACCAAATATACGCTTCATCCGATCATTGATGAAACTGCAGCGTAAATTCTCCTCTGACTGGTCGGAAACTCTCACAGCAAATAACAACTACGAGAAAACATCTATAACTTTCATATCACAACTTCAAATGACAAACCGCTTTNTGNCTNNGGTAAATAAGAGAGTCANNAAAGTCCTTACCAATATTCATATCGATCTGAACAGTTTTGATCCTTGGTTTCTATTCCCCACCGAAACTGGTCAAATCTGCGGTTGTTCGAAAATAAGACATATCGCAACAGTTGGAAAGAACAGCCCATAACTTTCACCACATAACTTGGATCGAGACGTTATTGGATTTTTTGGAAAGCTGAGACTCGGGCCTTTCCACATATATGTATATCGTCGCACAGTTCGTGACGGTTTGTCAGGAAATCGTCTCTCAATCCGGCGGTGCAATTCAGTTCCAAGGGCAGCTAGGGTTTACGAGGTGAAAAGTAAAACGGTCAGGGCTTCGCCGCAGCTGCACTCTTGGTCTTTAAGTCTAACATCCTCTCCCTTTATATAGTGGATGATTAGGATTTTTGATGGGTTAATTGGACTTGATGGGCTCGTTTAGCGTTGAAGAGGAAACGTTATATATGCCCAAGCGGCTTGGGCCAAGCCATTTAAATCTCTTTTAAATAATTTTTTCTTCTGTTCCATTTTTCATGTTCGATCCAAAAAATTTCCGCGCAAAAATTAAAAATCA